TCCCTACCTTACAAATTTTAGATCTTAAAAATCATTTTTATAATTGCACTCTGATAATTTTGGGCCATTGATAGCATTGCTTAGAACAAAGCTGAATGGTGACACTGAAGTGTGTTTTATATCAAAAAGCAGGAGCCGTTCCATATGAACACAAATTAGTAAGCATAAAAAACCAAAACCTAACTACGTGAATGAGTAACTTAAAATGGATCTTAATAATTCTGCTGACATACCATTCTCAAGAGAAATACAGTTCACATACCGTTTTGTTTTCATGACCTTTTTTTTTATTTTTCAAATTGTTTTAGCTGCTTTGCCAGACTAATAAATATTCAAAATTCATAAAGGAAATTTTATTTCCATTGTTTAGCATAATATAGTCCCCTAATATCATCAAATGCCCATTTTCTGATTTACTTTTCACTATACATACAGTGTTCACCACTGTAAGCTGTCTCCTCACTTAGGAAGAATGCTCGTGTATTTATAGGTGAAGACTTTCTTTTTTATGAGTCACTAAAAATTGCAACTTGCTGCAATATATCTATTCCTTATATTTCTTTTTATTCATATCTGGTTAACAGACTGACAACTTATTTTTACTGTTGTCAGCATTACACAACTAATAGAGCAGCACAGCAGCAAGTGATAGCCAATTCCGCCCCCGGAATCATCAGAAAAATTTGTCAGCCATCATAAGATGGGATTCGTCTCCTTGCTGGATCACAGAAACAGCTTGCTGGCTTCAGAGTTTCTAGCTCAGCTTACCACATCAGTCTTCTTCAGAAGTCATTTGACTTGTGAATCCTGCTAATGTAATGTGGAAGTCACCAGTAATGCTTAAGGGTCTGTTGCAGCAGCAGCTCTATATGCAAAACTCTAAAGAATTTTGAATGGCAGCGGTGTCACCCATACAGATAGCACACTTACAGTATTGCATTCCTGATTTTAAGTCACATTTTTTGAAGTTAGATGCTCCTGGTCAGCCTTACCCTTGAAATTAAATAGCTGACAAGAAAGCACAGACAATTCCAGAGTCATGGACTTTGTTGTTGTTAGTTTTCTTTTAATGCTGTCATCCCACCCTGTCTGGCAGCTGGGATCAGCCCGCTGTTAGTAAAACCTAGAAAAATTGCACGAGCTTTCCAGTTCCTAATTGCATGCAAAAAATAGAACTAGCAGGTACCTGCATCGACAACTTCAGTTAACATAACAAATCCATGCTGCCTTCTTTCTTTATTCTTTAAACAGATATTGCAGGCTTGCTTACATTGTGAAATTAAAAATACAAAATTGCCTACAAATTCTATATTTAATTCTACTTTTAAAATTTCAGAAATGGCAGAAAGCCACCGCAAGTTCAACATTCTGAGAACTACTCCAAGATTAACTGTTCTATCACATGGCTGAACACCACAAATGGTATGATCAGCAAAAACATACTCTTCCTTACAGGCATATGCATCAATGCATGGAAGTTCCCACATAAATCTTTAACCCTTTTGTCCTTCCTCCCAGAGTTTCTCCCTGAGAGTGAAGATGGCACCCTCCCAGCACCCAGTCAAAGCAAAAGCAACCTGCCTGTGACCCAAGTCAGCTGACACAGTCCCCCTGACAGTTATTGGCTTCTCTCCTCAGCCTCACAGACTGGATCTCTCACTTCTGATCATAAGTTAATGGACACCAAATAGCGTATGTGATGGTTTGTCAGCAAATTTTAACTTTTCTATGGATAGCTAAACTGAAGCACGATGGCATAGAGGATGTTGAATTTCTGTTTGGTCAGTTTTCCCTTCAGTGTCAGTTATGAGAAAAATTATATCAATAAAACATCATATTTCTCCATCATTAATCATTTGGCAAGCATACAACCCGCTGTTAGACCAAGCTTTTTGGAGGAAACTGAAGCAATTGAGCTGAAATGTACTACAATAACCAGAGCTCTCCTCCACTCCTCACTGGAGGTGCAAGTGTTTCTGCGGCAGGAGTAGGGATAGTAGCTCACCAGCAAAGCAGCCGTTAAGCAAGTTACCTGGGGTAAGGAGGAGGGATGCGACTGCAGGCTTTGTGGGACTGCACAGCACTGGGGCTTCACGCAGGATATTTATTTACAGCGGTGAAGGTGAAGGTAAAGGAACTAACATGAAGTATTGGTTGTACATTGCCCTAATGGAAGTTTCCACTTAAATGCTAAGTATTAGTAGAAGGAAACAGAAGAGTTGACAGGTTTTATACTCTAGATAGTCTTTGCAAGGAATTTTCTCTGGAAAAGATACTGAAGAACCATGAATTGAGGCACAGATCTAACTGATGGACTGGGATGCAAGCAAAGCTGGCAGAAGAGGTCACCGTTGGAAATAAGAGAAGCTGGGCAATCCAGGAATAAATGTCGGTATGCAAGAGTCAGGAAATTTTTGCTGTCATAGACCTGTTTACTGTAAGGCTGCTGGGCAGTAGGGTGTTCTATTTGGGGTTTTTTACTAGCATATTAGTTTTCATTATTTCAAATGATTGAATTATCTACTGAACTTTTTTCATTTTTATTAGGATGCTAACTGCTGAAACGTTAAACACCACCCTAGTAATTTGAAGATGTGTTCAAACTCAGTGTGATAACCTCCTGTGTCTTCAGAGTGCCATAAGAAGTGAATCGATTTTACAGTTGTTGTTATAAAGAGAAATAATTTTTTTTTGGGAAAATGTATTTCCCCTTTACAGCTAATTGACTGAAATCTTTATAGGACTAGCAGCACCAGGCTTCTATTATGTTCTTCATTTTGAGGGAGCACTATTATAAGCAGTGCTGTTTTCAAAGCTCTGAGTTTCTTGTTGACTATTCATCTTTACTTTGAAGGACTCTAAATTGGATTCTGAGTGACAATGCAGACTGTTATAGCAGTGATAAAGTAACGAACATGTACTCTTAAAAGATTCTTCTGAGTTTTTCTAAAAGATTAGATTTTGAGTAAATCATAATACAGCTCAAGGGACTAGAGACAAAAATTAGTTAACAAACTCAATATAATTTGCTGGAAGCATTCCTGTTTTCCCAGTTCTCTGAACAGTACCATACATCCAGCCATCATCAATTGGTTGCACATTGATGATATAATCACCATCCCTGAAGGAAACTTCATCTTCATCTTGGGCACTGTAGTCATACATAGCTCTGTATGTTCTCTGTTGAAGGAAAGAAAACAAGACTGTAAAGTCTCAAGCCAAAACAGAGGTAGATTCCTTCTCTTCTTTGCACAAAGAAAATTAAAAGAGCAGGGAAAACAGAGGGAGCAAGGCAGAGAGAAATCACAAGTTACCTGTTGAAAAGAAACAGTACACCTGTCACCCTGTCAAACATACAGTGAATACAGGCCCTGTTTCTGAGTACCAAAATATTTACTTTTGTGAACCTACATTGTCCAAAGTCCTCATACAAACAGATTTCAAGCCATTCACTGCCTCTTGAAATATTTCAACTGTTGTTTCATATATTCACTAGTAACAGTTCATTGCATCCAGCCATGGCTTGCTCTGCTGCTGCTCCCTATTTGCATGATTCCCAAATAGCTTCTCCTGTTTCTTCACTACAGAAATAAACAGTCTTCATCCAGGTCATTAGCTTTGTCATCTCACTGAATGTCCTTCATTTCATTAGGATTTTACCTCAAATTAAGAATCAGGAATATATTATTATATAATGAAAAAAGACAAGATTTCAAAAAGTCTGCAAAAATAATCTCTATGAATATTCATTTTTGCATATTCAGATAACAGATTGATCTAAACAGGACACAAAGTCCTCTTCATCCAGGTCATTAGCTTTGTCATCTCACTGAATGTCCTTCATTTCATTAGGATTTTACCTCAAATTAAGAATCAGGAATATATTATTATATAATGAAAAAAGACAAGATTTCAAAAAGTCTGCAAAAATAATCTCTATGAATATTCATTTTTGCATATTCAGATAACAGATTGATCTAAACAGGACACAAAGTCCTATCATCAGCTAAGCCAAATTTCCCTTTCCCTACACCTCTCTGCACTGTAAGATCAATTTCCATTTTCTTTCTAAATAGAGTATTTATTCCACTCATAACCAATAAAATGCTGTCATTAACTGGAATTCAGATTGGATTTTCAAACTCAGAGGGAACAGTCTCCCCTTGTATCTTACCAGCAGAACAAAACTAGGTCATTTTAAAATTTCCAGACATACTTTCTTTTCCTTACCCTGTTTCTCGATAGAAGTCAAGAGCAGTTCAAGCATCACTGATAATGTTCAATTTCCCTAGCAACAATTTTTGATATGTCACCATATCTAGATTCATTTTTCTGGTACAATGATTTAAAGAGGCAAAAAGATATAAAACAGTCGATGTTTGAGTTAATGCCTAGTAATATTTTCTGAACCTTTTAAGAGAAAACAAACTTTGTTCTAGCTTCCCAGTTGAGGCAAACAACTCTGGATTAGTTTTAGTCCATATATGTTTTTTTGAAGGTTTTTAATTAAATTATTTTCAGAAAAGTTGTAGATTCCTACACACAGAGACAGGGAGTAGGCCATTTGTCAGATGTTGGAAATGCGGGATCACCTAATCCAAACACTATAGGGCAACTCATTATTACTGTTCTCATGCTAGAAATACACTTTTTGTCTTCTTTCTGCCTTTATCAGGTAGTGCAGAGTAAACTCTACAGAGAAATCCACTCCTTATTACACATTGGAAACCACTACCTTTCCTAACAAGCCTACTCTGAGCTGTATTTGAGTCTTGCTCTGTATAACTGTTCTCTGCTGTGCCTTGCAATGTTGCTGCCCTACAGGCTGTGACCAGGAGTGATTTTCAACCATCGGTATGTGGTTTTTTGGTGGTTCCTTAGTGTCTTCCAAGTGTTCATGGAAGACAGTGAAAAATAGCATCATCATTTATGCACTACATTGAAGCAACAAATTGGAAATGTTCTATCATCACCAAAAATTCCTTAAAGATTCACAAAGTATAAAACTTGCAGGTGGAAGACCCTAAGGAATGGTCTCTGTCTTCAAGAATCTTCTTTTTTCCAACTATTTCACTGATCTCTCTACTGAGCCTTGAAACTATCTCAAAAAAAAAAAACACCACCAGTGAAAAATATGCCATTACAACAAGCCTAGAAGCAGTTAGTGCTTTAAACACTTTATTTCAAAAAAAAGATTAATTTAAGAAAAATGGTAGTAAGTCCATTTTTGGCATAAGGCATAGAATAGATTTTCCTCTGAGCCGTGCTTTTATGTCTCATTTAAACAGGCAAAGACTGGGAGAAGAGATTAAATGTCTTACTGAACTAACATATAATTGGAAAAAAACAGAGAGGTTTTGGCTCACCCAGAAGATACTCACTCATCCTTGCAACATCATGGTATAGGACATAATACTGCTGTCTCCTTTAAGGCAGCTTGACTACATCACTGTGGTGGCACAGTTGTGAAGACAAGCTGGTAATTTCAAACTTTAAAAAAATTTATTAGGGCCTTAAATGGTTCTGAGAAATCTAAATTTATGGCCTAACACCTAATTAGGTGCTAAATGGCTGTCAGGAGAAATCTCCATAATAATCCTGTTAGCATTTAATGCCTAATTATCACTTCAGAGTGTAGTCTGGGCTATATAATTGAGAATTACAATGCTTAAAGGACTCAAAGCAGGAATTTTTAAAATGCATTTCAGTGAATTATTCCTCTGTCAGAAGTGAGTTTAGCAGGTACTGAAAGCACAAGAGGGTATAAGAAAAGGTTGGGGGTTTGTAAAACAGACAGATACTCACTTATCTCCCACCTCCTCAAAGGTCTAACTTGCCACTACTGCTTAGACGGAAGAGTAAGTCTTGTGCATATGAAGTACTGAAGCCCAGCTTTCTCATATTCCCAGCTTCCCAGACAGATGTGAGTTGACAGATGCATATTTCCACTTCATCCACCAGTTTATACTTATTCTATGGATGGCTCCTTGCAAGGAAAAGTACCTGTTGCAACATCTTTCACATAGAACAGCTATCAAGGCAAGCCAATTTGCAAGCTACATTTTGTTTTCCTACTAGTTTTAGTCATCTAAAGATGTGAGAATACTTTCTGATACCTTCCAAAGAGGAAAACATCCTTCAGGGGTCTGTTATAAAACATTTGGTACTCTAAGCAACAATTTAATTCAACCCATTATGCAGAACTGCTTATAGAAAGTGAGCAAAATTAAGAATCAGAAAACAACAAAAATCATCTAGAAAAACAAAAATCTACCCTGTATTAGGATCATGATCAAAATTAAATAAACAAAAATTTGAAAATTCAGAAATTAGAAAATTCCTATTTCTCAGTATAGGGAATTGGTGTACATGATTATAAAATGAACATGTCTTCTGGGGACCCTAATCCGATTTCAGGGCAACAAACCAGCTGAAAAGTTTTACTACAGCAGTTACTGCTCCAATCCTCCCCACCCTCATACAACCCATGGGATATTAATCACTCTCACACTAGAGATGTCCTGGCCAAACTCAGGCACTTACGGGTGACTGTCACCTTCATTGCCTTTAGTTAATTCTCAGAAACTGCTTGGGCTTTGAGACCAGTATTCAGGCTGGGGTTTCTTTCCTCCCATCTCTTCCTCTTTTTACTTCTTTCCTACATCTGCCTGGTTTAGCCAAACAAGGCTGCATCTCTGGCAGTTCTGCTCCAAGCCCAGAACCAAACAAGCAGCTGAAAGCAATGGACCTGGCCTTGTCTAAGCTGCTTAGATCTCCCAGGACATGTCCACCCTGCATTTGAAAAGTGCTCCAAGGCTGACTTCCATCCTCAGTCTGTGCAAATCACTACACTTAAATGCATCCCCAGCACACAATGGGAAACCCTTGTACCATCCCAATAGCTGAGTGCCACCCCAATAGCTGAGTGCCACAAGCCCAACACACCTGGATAAACTGCACAAGCTAAAGAAAACAGTCATTTGATGTGAAGGTGGAAAGAGAAGGGAGCATGCCAGTTTTCTAGCTGCATCCGAGATGCCTCCTTTGGAGCAGAATCGTAACCCTGGAGGGTGATAAGATCACCCTCTGTCTTCACCACCAGACTGGCAAGTTAGTACTCAGCACCAGGCCAGCAGTCCTTGATTTTCTCCTTCTGGAAACGTTTGGGGTTTATTGTCTTCAAGGAAACTCATTCAGTTTTTAACAGCAACAAGATCCATTCAAACAATCACATTTGTTGTTTCCCTTTTTTCCCAATGATAAACAGTTATTATCACTTAAAAGAATGTCAAATGAAAACAGTTTCAGAAAAGGGATAAGAAATCCTGTTGAAATTAGACACTTAGTCAATCCTTTACTTTTTAAATGTTTTAACTTCACTCCCCTTCTTTTTCCCCATCACCTTTACATTCCTGGGTCTGAAAGAAGAGGTAAATGATGATTCTCACGATGACGGAGTTTCAGTTTTAAACAAAAAAAACCAAGTTTCAGCTAATCTTGAAAACAGGTTCTTTTCAGCTCAGCAAGCTCTAAGTTTGTTTCATAATTAAGTACTCCATCTCTAAAAATGGTGACAGTAAATATACATCCATTCAAAATAGTTTAAAACTCAAAACTGTAAGTCAATATTTTTAAGGTAAAAGATGACTGGATCTGAACTATGAAATCTCTAGGCAGTGATATGACAAAAAAATTATAATCATTAAAACCAAATTTTATACATAGATTTCAAAGAGAAAAAAGAAGCCCAATTTCCTGAAAACCCCAGCTGAATATCCATTCAGCTCTCTTTCCATGACCAGTTACTTCTACAACAAAATATTCACTCCAGCTTTAAATTCCCATCCACCACAATTAAGAAGTTCATGACTGTGGCCATGGTTTCATGATAAAGCTTGTTCTCAGTCACCCAGCAGTATAACTCGATTTGGATCAGGCACGCATGGGTAAGCAACTGTTCTGTTGAATTAGAAAGGGCACACCAATGCGGAGTCTAAGCCAGCTTTATACAAACAGAGATGAGTAATAGGGATAGGCATAAAGCCTGCTAGGACAAAATCAGCAAGTCAAAAAATGTAAATAGATTTAAATCAGAGTGATCTTAACAGATCCAGCACCAGGAACCTGAACTCACCACAGATCATAACATCAAAGCTCAGCCTGTGAAATACTGTCCAACCGTTTATTGTTTTAGCAGGTAGAAGATTCAGTTAGTTCTCTGCCTTCTGGAGATCATAAATGATTTTCTTTACATTCATTCTGACATAAAGGTTCTTGCCACTGCCCTAAGTCACTTAATCTTTTTTATACATGAGGACTATTACTTAGATTTAGGACGAGGACAGCTATACAATTCAAGGAGACTGATTCACTCATATATAAGAGATTTCACAACAGCTGATGATGATGTTTACCATATAAAATTGTTCTTTAAATCCAATACTCACCAGACCTGCTGAATGAGGCTGTGAATGCATGGACCTCATGGATGACATACTGGTCTGGTGCATGTATCCATATCCTTGGGACTGGCTTTGCTGATATGCCCCAGGGAGAACAGGGGCTGTGTGTTAAAGACAGAGAGACATATTACTGTAAGTTTTTTAAAAAGTTCTTATTTAGAATTTTGTAGAAACTGTAGATTATTTGCATTGTAAATAACAATAGTCCATTATGAAACAGTTCAGAATGACTTCCATACGACTTCAAGCTCTCCATAGGTTGAATCACATAAAGGTAGCCAAAGCTATAATAATATATCCACAAACATTATCAAGGTTAATTGGAAGGAAAAGCTTAATGGAGAAGTCTGACCATAAAATGACATACAAAAGCTTGGGATACCACTAACTTAATTTTGATACTGCCATAGATGATGCACTAAATATCATGTTCCATAAACTTCCATTTCATGAGGAAAGGTTGATGAAAAAAAGCTACACACTAAAACGATTTTGAAATGTTTCTGTAGAAATTATCCACAATTAATTCCTAACTCATTGTAAACTAAGTCGTATTTATTGGGCTGTGAACAAAGGACTGTGATTCACAGGAAGAGATAGAAACATAAAAAAGTGAGCCCACAGTTGGGTTGCTTAGTTTATTCCGATTCCATTAACATTCTTAGCCAAACACAAATAAATCAATGGTTACTGAAATGTTTCCAAGTCCACTTTTTTCAGTATCCTCCTCTTACCACACAATTGTTCCATCTCTTTCACACATATTTTATTCACATTATTTTAACAATTACGAGGGCTAATCATTAATAAGTTGACTTTTAATGTACCAAGACCTGTTGAAAGAGTTAATAAAATCAACAAGGACTCCCTATCTCCATTGCTTACTAGGAAAGCATTTGTAAACCTTCCATAGCTGTTCAAACATCCTACTTTGGCAACAGACCGAATCACAATGTGTTAAAAACGTGTCTGATTAAAAAAATCTGTGACAAATAAGCACAGCATAGCTGACTATCCACTATTTTCCCAGCCAGCCCAAGAAGCATTTTTAAAGCAAAATTAAGAGATTGCTTTCCAAAATCCAACGATCAAAAGTTTTAGTCACTGCATATGTGTGCATGTTTTACAAGACTTGCATGCACTCTGAGAATAAAGACTTCTGTCTTATATGGAGGCCCATCTCCCACTGTTATTTACCAGAATTTTACTAGTTCAACTGGAAATTCATTTAGCTACACTGAAAAGAGAATGCATTTCTGTTAATACTTTTTCAAGTGGTCCATTTAGCTGGTACTCTAACTCCTCTGACAAAAGCCAGGTTTTCTTTACAGGAGATGGAGCCCATGCAGCCCGTGAGTCAAAAATCTTCAAACATGGAGTCAATCAGCAGTCCAATACTTTCCGAGATACACCTCACGGGCTTGCTAGGAAGTGAAGAACCCCTTCTGGAACAGCCATCACACACAGATTCAAAAAGAAGCTAAGCTAACATTGGATTTAATGGGACTCACAATGTATGGAAGGATGCAGGCCTCGTAAAATGAAAAGCTACAGGAGAAGCAAGAAACAATGTACAATAAATATATATAAGTAGTATTCATATTTGCTTCTTGAGTGATCAAGACAATAAATGTGTGTGGAAAAAAAGGAATACTGATAAAATGTTTCCTGAAGCATTTCAGAAAGAAAGGTCAACCCTGTGCTTTCAGCAATGTTTTATGTATCCTGCTTCCCCAAATAACAATATCATTGATTTCAACTAAGTTTTTTCTTAAAACATCCATTTAATCTTAGTTAGAATATTTAAATGCACTACGTATGTAATTACAACTTGGGATGTTATTTTTTGCTCCACTATACTGGTAAAGGTAAATAACCCTGTATATATTTAACTAGGGTGGTGGGTTTTTTATTTAGAAAACATGTTTCAAACTATTGTAATTAATAGATTGCCTTGTTAAGTGAGTGAAATTAAAGCGATACACAGTCAGATGCAACACTGGAACCTGATGAATAATGGATGTTTTAAAGGTGCCAAGTTCATTCTAATGACAAAGACATTTTAAAGCATTTTAATTTAAAATGCATTTTAAGGCATTTTAAATCATCAGAGAATTGCTACTCGTTAACATGTTCACAGGATTATCATGCATTAAGTGAATAGTCCTAAGTAGTTCATCAAATAATTTATGTTTCAGTGTTGTTACAAGCTATTCCTACATGACCAGTTGTATGAGAAAACAGAGAAAAACATAATATAATGAAAGATTCCATGATCAAGCCAGAATGGATATATTTTGCCTAATTCACCATCAACATAAACGTAAGTCAACAGAAGCAAATGGAGTCTCATGTCCTCATAACAGTAGCTAGTTGGTCACCTAGGTTTAAAACTGAGCACAGCTCCAACCAGCATTGGCCACTGATCAGTCAGCACCCTGACTGCTCTGCAGTGACAAAGGGCTCGTAGCTTTGTCTTGGCCCCTGGCAGGGGCTGACACCCTGAGAGTCCCTTTCGTCTTCCTAAGACAAGTGAAGACGCTGGTAAAAACTTTTTACTCTTGATTATTTTCCCTCAAAACCAACCTTTCTCAATTCCTACTAATCAACCTTTGTCAGCATAAGGCAGCAAGCCTACTGACGGTCAGCATCATTATAGCCTCCAAACAGACAAGCTTATTTTGGGGAGGATAACCCATTCCTCCCACTTCCCTGACAACTGTCAGCAGCAGGCCTGAGATGTGCTTTCCTCTTTTGCAGCCAGCTTCTCACCAGCTGAGAGACTTCTGTCAAACTGTCTCAGCGAATCTGTCTGCTAATTTACCTGCAACAATGGAAACCATAAGCCTAGGGAAATAAAACATTTCTTCCAAATCGGGAGATATTTTGGAAAGCATTAAAAGCTGAAGAATTAGAAGAAGATTCTATATAAACAAAAAGAAGGATTTTCTACAATTAGCTTTGTTTATTGTCTTCACTTTGTTTATTTATGTATCATATATATGTAGATGAGCACATATATGAGCAAATATTAACATTGAAGACACTTTATTGAAAAATTTAACCTTTTTTTTCCATTAAAAAATACTGCAGTAGCACTACAAAAACCAAATTATATTTAATTTTTTTTTTTTTTTACAAAAAATATTTAAGAAATTTGCAGATGGTTGTCTATTTGGAAGATAATTTGGGAATCACATAAATAAGCAGATTAGTGAGGAGACCACAGAGGAGAGCTGTGTTTCTCATAATGTATAGATAATTCAAGGTGAGATCAAATGATGCAGAAAAAAAAAAGTGTTTGACTTTTCTTCATCATCATCACCCATAGTTAACTGCAATCTTTTGGCTCACACCAAAGTATAAAGTTCTATAACATCATTGGCCACAGCAGCAGCAAAAGCAAAGGCTTTAGTTAACCTAAGGGGACAATAAAACACAGTGGTGGAACATGAAATTCATTTAGCTGAAGCCAGATTTATTGCTGAGGGAGCCGACGGCTGACCATTGCTCCCAGAAGTACAGGTGGATGTTTTTTCTTGCTGCATTAAGACTTTACCAGATACATTCTGATGTATTGAAAGTTCCTTTTTTTCTTGTCCCACTTAGCAAGCAAACCAGATATTCAGTTTAAATTATCTACTTGGATGAGTTTATCATATTTCTCTTACTATATCTTTGTAGGCTTCCTCAGAGAAAAGAAAGAGAAAAATGAATGAACATGATAAAGGCAAACAGAGAGGAAGCCTCCAAGAAAATGAAGCTGAAAGAATGATAGTGGGTATCAACTTGCTGCAGCAGACAATGGGGTCTGCAGACAGTGTACCAATCAGGACATGCTTTGAGAAGGACTGGGAAAGAAAAAGGTCAGGCTGTGGAAGCAGGAAAGAAATAATTAAGAGAGCATTGTGTAACTACAAGGTTAAAAAAGCTTATGTTGAAAAGAAAAATCATTTAAAGGGCAGGTTCCAAGATATAATATTTTATCAAAACCATATGTAAACTCGCTTTCATTCTTTTGTACAGCAGAACCTCATTAATCCATGGTAAAACAATGCTTCCCCACTGCTAACTACTGCATTTTTGCCATTTATTACATTACATGCCATTTACTGGACGAGATGTAAAATAATAATCACTTCATTTACAGACATCACGCAGTTTTAAGAATTTATTTTACTTCAGGTGTTGATGTTAACTCATGTTTTCACTACTAGGCTACTAAGACTCTCAGAACTCACTAAGAATATTGACACATTTCATAATAATAACAGCACGAGAGAGCAGGAAGTCAAAAGAGAGACAACGGTTATTATGTGCTTAATTCTCGTGCCCGTAAGAGGATGATCAGGCTGTAGATTTTCTGAGGAGCACAAAAGTTGCAATAGATGCAGAATCATACATCCTTGTGTTACTGACACTATGACTACCTCCCCAAAAGTAGATGAAGTTGTTTATGGGAACCATGTTGCTCCACATATATTGAAGCCATCCCCCTGTTTTTCCTTGCTGCTGCCTAATTTTCCACTGGTTACAACATCTAGAGCAGCCCTCATGGTCTTAGAAAGTCTCTCCCATAGCTTTCAGTTCCTTCTTTCTTTTGCCATTCCCTTAGAAATTACTACAGCTATGTCCTGTGTAGCAGAAAACATTGTCAAATTATTGATGCAATCACACAAGGGGAAGCATAGGTCTAGAGTACACTTCTGAGGTACTCAGGTACACCCCACATGTGGACGGGTCACTGCCCGAACTGCACAACCTCTTTGACCGCTTCCAAGTCCGAAATACAAGACTACATAGCTAAGGAGGTACAGCCTTAGGGTAAACTATTATTGCTTCACTGAAGCTGGTGGATAATAACAACTGATAGCCTTCTCGGTAAAGCATCACAGAAGTTGCTTTGGCTACAAATTCTGGCTCAATACTTTATTTTTGGGGGTTTTATCACTCTCCCCAGATGTTGGCTGCTGCTTCCCATCATTAAAATACTTAAAGTGTTTGGGTTTAAAATATGTATTTCCAATCACTTCCTAGAACAAAGAGGTACATTATCATCACTTACCAAGGCTAGCATACTTGAATACTATCAACAGTTTTCACCTCTTCCCTGAATCTAACTGAATTCAGTGTTACTAATAATGAAATTACTTCCACAGTAATGCACTTGACATCACTCAGGGACTGATTTGGCTATCCTTATGCACTGAAGTAGTATTTTCCCTCAAGGAGTTGTCCCATCAAAATTTGCAGCAACACTTTTGATTAAAAGGTACTAATCAATCTGAGTAAGGATAGGAAAAATGAATGCCAAACAGATCTGGC